GGGCTGGGAGGGGATTTCGCGGCTCCCCAGGGGACGGCAGCGGCTCTGTCCTCCTCCGAAGCGATGACGAGAAGCGTGATACGTCCTCAACGTGTGCAAAATCGAAGAGATAAGAGACTCAACCCGGGAGGGGGGCGGTGGCGGTGGCAGGTGGTGGGAAGGCGTCTGTGCTGGGCTGCGACGGACGGACAGACGGGGATCTGTGAGCAGGGAGGAGAGGGGTCACTGGTCCCGCTCCAGGCTCGGCTGTGCCTGGCCATCCCGGGGACAGCCAAGCAGAATTTGGTCTTTTTACACAGGGAAATTCACCCCTTCCCAAAACCCAGGTGCCCAAAGATATCACCTCCACCTCCTCCTCCCAGGGCTGGACCCTGCCCATCCAACCCTGGCTGCGTGTCACCATCTCTCCCATTGACACCGCTAACGTCACATGTGGAGATGACACAGCCGGAGGGAAGCAAAGGACCCTATGCCCATGGGAGCTGCCTTGAGACGGCTCCTCCTTGGGCACTGAAGGACGGTTGGCATGTCCTTTATGCTCCAAAGTGACACAGGTGACTGATGCCAAGATCGATCCCCTAGTCTTCAGGCAGTGTGGGTACAGTGAAAGGGCATGTGGGGGATACCCACGAGACAGCAGCCCTGACCCCGAGAGGAATGGGGCATTTTGGGGCTCTCCAGGCTGTCAGCTCCAATTCTAAGACAAACCAAAGACATTTTGAGATGCATATTTGAATTTTCTGATCTCAGACAGTTTTTTTCCCATCACTATGAAAAGGCCTTAGATTTCCACGTGGTTTCTTTGTCTGTTAAAAAATCAGCCGTGGGGAAGGCGGAGAGCTGCTGAGAATGAAGCATCAAAGACCCCTTTGCAGGCTTTGCGGAAAATGTTTGAAAAGCCATTTTTGAGATCTCCACCAGAACACCCAATCTGGAAAAGCAGCTAGATTTGGTGCATTTACAAAAAACTGCAAGAAAATCCCAAATGGCTTGTTCTCAATGCCCTTCACCCACAGACTGGTTGGAGCATCGCTTTCTCAACCATGATGGAACCTGTGGAGTACCCATATCCCTGCCTCCTCCCAGCATCACATCCCACCTCTTATGCCCCTGGTTTGGGAGATACTCACTAAATAAAGAGGGCACCATAGGCAGCCAAGACCAGTCCAGCTGTCCAACACACTGCCACGGCCCCACTGCCCACCACGGCCCCCTTGTCGCAGATCTTGGTGGTGGGGGGCGGCATGAAAGAAGAGGTGCTAGCGCTTGTTGTCTCTGCAAGGAGATAGAGTGGATGGGAAGGGGAGCCGGGGTGCCCCAAGATGCATCCTGTAGGGGCAGCCCTGCTCCCCCACCAGTGGGGACACGGCACCGTCCTTTCCCCAAATTGCCCCTCTCACTGCCATGCCACACTAGTGCTAAGCTGGGTGGTTGAGATGATGAGCCAGGGGAAGGGGATGGTGTGGTCCACGAGACTTTCCCTGCTCTGACACTGGACCTAATGCTCAGAGATGCTTGCACCACCAGGCAAAGCTGGGCATCCCTCTTGGCCCCATCCTGCCCAGACGGGCTACTCTGTGCATGAACTCTGTGGGAATTTTGGCTAAGAAGTCATAATGACATGGCTACAAGTGCTCAGCAGAGAGCATCTCCTGCTCAGGGAACATCCCAGACATGACTGTGGGTGCTGGGCTCGCTCACAAGGCTTGTCCTCCTTTGTACAGGACCAGATGGATTGCATGTCCCCAAGGAGGGCTGCAGGATTGCAAGGAGGGTTTGGATGGGCAGTTAGGCTGGGGAAGCTTTGGTCATATCCAGAGGGTCCTAGAGTGCGTCTGGCCAGACAATCTGGGGTGGATGCTGGGGGCCACAGGGGATCTGTCTCAGCATCTTTCAGACTCCACTGAAGTGTTACGGCAAGGCTTAGCCCCAGATCTGGGGTGTCCCACATCAGCCCTGCATGGCTGCAGCCAGCTGCATGCACAGTGACACTTGTGCCAGGGACACGTGTGTGCCTGCACAGGGAGCAGTGGTATTTGCATTCAGCATGATGCAGGTGGGTACAGAAGCAAACCCAAAACCCAGACACTAGCACCACTGTAAGGTGTGCCTGCACTCCTGATGCGTCTTTATCCCTGGGGATGAGGGGCTGCAAATCCCTGTCACTGCCTGAACCCCCAGGTGCTCTACTGGGTGCTGTTTCTGCAAGGGGCGGTGTCTCTGTGTAGGAGGCAACTCCACTCACTGGCAGCGGGGCTTGTACCGACCACATCCCCATGCAGGGAGCATTGCCAGGGCCTACAGAGGTTCGTGCAACACACTGCTTGCATGCACATGCTGGGGTCTGCATGCACAGCTGGGCTTGGGATTGGAGGGTGGGGGCACTGAGCACCCCCCCTTTCCAACACGCACATCTGGCAAGCTCACACATGTGGTCCCAAGTAGAAGCCTGGTCACTGCCTGCCTGTCTGCCTGCACACCAGTGCTTCCCCTGGCTCCACTGCTGGTGCCAGCCAGGGGAACCAGTGCAGGGTCTGCTCCAGCCCTTCTGGGAAACGGAGAGCTGATAACACCCATTTGGACACAGTCCCAGCTCTTTCCTAGAAACAGAGGCTTGTTAACTTTGTGGCTTTTATTTTGAATTGGCATCACTCCGAGCCATTGTGCGGGTTGGAGGTGTGGAGGGGGTAGGACTCAAGAGGGAGGGCTGGAGGGGGGCAGTGTTCCAGTGAATAGTAACAATAATAATAATAATAATAAACTCCCAGCTTTGTTGTCACACCCCAAGCAGCCTGGCTAGGAGGATGCTGGAGCCAGGGGAGTTGAGTCAGCACCCCTCAGGCCATGGCTGCACCCGCTGCTGGGGCTACGGGTGGGGGACAAAACACAGGGTGAAGGGCTGCAGCCCCCCTCGGTGCTGGGGAGATCTCCTTGGCTGGGGACAAAACTTGCACAGACTGGGGGGGGACCCTCAGCCAGGACTCCTGGGTTCCCCTCTGCTGCGTTTGTACCAGGAGGGAAGCACTCACCTGTGACCTGGGCCTCCGTGGTGAGATGTTTGGGCTCCTCTGTCCAGGGGGTGGCATGGACGGCCACACTCCAGTCACTCCACGTGCCAATGTCGTTGTCTTTGGCAGCCACCTGGATGATGTACTCCTTGCCAGCATAGGCATCCGTGATGGTGTGTGATGTCCCGTCTGACAGCTCGACCTGAGGGCAGTGGCAGGGGGGGGAGGGGGGGCAGAAGAAAGCGAAGCACAGG